CCCCAAAACCCCAAAACCCCAAAACCCCAAAACCCCAACCTTTAAAAACGGGATTGAAAATGACGAATAATAATTATGATTCTCAGTGATATTCTTACCTCAGGATACTTGAGAAATGCTCTCTGTTATTTCTTGTTGATACTAACGGGTTTAATCGTGCACATCCTAAATACTGTACTTCTGCAACCATATTTGTTCTGGAGGAAGTACAAGAAGTATCCGAATGTAATTACCAGGGAGTCCTTCAGTCCCATTCTTGGTGACATGAAGGAGCATATAGACTCAATGAAGGAAAACAAAGTACACTATTCATATATGAAGAATGGGGCTGAAAAGTACAACAAGCATGACCTTAGAGTAACTCTAGATGGAATTTTCCCGACCGTAATGATTTTAAGTAACAAAGCACTTGAAGAGTTCCTCAGCATGCAGGTTACAAAAATAGACAGAGATGACCTTAACTCTGGAGTCTCAGGGTTGATTCCTCATTCTTTAGTAACCATGCCTTCGACAAAGGAGGTTATGAGAAGAAGGAAGAACATGCTCTCTTGGGTCTCACTGAATTCGGCTTCGAAGTATATCCCTCACATGCTGAGGTGCCTTGAAAAAGTGGGTAATGATATGAAGACAAAACAAAAAGTTGATCTTGTTCACTCGATGAATGTCGTGACATTTGATGTATTTTCAGATATCTTGTTTGGTGATGACGTCAAAGAGCTTGTATCCAAACTCTACCCTTATGAGAATCCTGATGGCTCTATAGAGATGATAGAGTTGAGAGAAATGCTTATCAGATTGACCAAGTGTCATATCAGCCATTTCTTCCATCCGCTGTCACATATGTTCAAGTTCCTGAAGAACAGAGGGCTAGTAAACCCGTTCAAGAGAGACGCTAAGAACGCAGCTGAGTTCAAGAGAGCTATTCTTGAGATTGTAAAGAACTCAAAGGAACAGAAGGCTGCCCACCATATGTTCAGTGATCCTTTATCAAATGAGGTACAAAAACTCGACGAAGTCTGAGGAGTGATGTTAGCTGGTTCAGAGACCACATCCCATTCATTGGTATCTTGTCTCTATTTCCTCAACAAGAATCCTGAAACTCTCAAAAAATTGAGAGAAGAACTCAATGCGAATGGGTTCACAAAAGAGAAGAGCTTTTATGAAATATGCACAATGGAGAAGATTCAAAGCATGACATATCTAACTTGTTGCGTCAAAGAAGCTTTCAGATGCGATATTGTTGCTCCTAGGAGTTTTTCTTATGCAGCCTTAGAAGATATTGAGATCTGTGACGTACCCATTTCCAGGGGGACCAAGATCAGGATTGATCTGTCTACTTGCCACTTCGACAAAAATAAATGGCTTGATGAGTATGAGTTTATCCCAGAGAGACATGATTTTGAGTCTGAGTACTATAAGAGAACTAAGCAAACAGGAATCAAACCGGACGTCTACTCCAGAAGGACCTTCAGTCATGGTATGAGAAGTTGTCCTGGTCAATCCTTCGCCATGCTGGAGATGAAGGTAGCCATAGCTTATCTAGTGACCCACCTGGATATCCAGTTTGATGAAGAACAACTGAATAACAAAGATATTGGGTTTGGCCTTGGCAGTCATTTCATCCCACTGGTGACAGTAAAAGAGCATTAAAAGTTGCGAAATTATTCAATTGAGAATTGTGCATAGGGGTTTTGGGGTTTTGGGGTTTTGGGGTTTTGGGGTTTTGGGG